ACATGCACCTAAACCAATGTTACTTGCATCTGTATGTAGCAGGAAGGGAGAAGATAAATCAGCAAAACCAAGGACAGGAGCTGTTGTCAATTTATTTATGATAGTGTCAAAAGCCTCTTGACATGTTGAATTCCATTGACCATTGACCATCAATCAATGAATTCATACTAAGCACTGTTCTACCATTGAGCATATTATGACCTTTAAGTTTCTTCACAGTCTTAGGAGGCAAATAACCAGCAGTAAGATTGTTCAAAGGTTTAGTAATGTTGGCATAATTATCTACAAATTGACGTAAATAATCTGTAAATCCCAGGAAACATTTTAAGTCTCTTAGAGTCTTTGGTACTGGACAGATGGTTAATGCTGATTATTTATCTGGGTCTGGAGTAATACCATTTTCAGATACAATATGTCCTAGATGTTTAACATACTTTTGGAAAAAAGTACATTTTTTGTGATCTAATTTCAACCCGAAAGCACGAAGACGTTCTAATGTTTTAAACAATCTGTCTTCAACAGTTTGGATATCATGACCATGAACGATAATGTCATCCAAATAAACCAAAAGTTCACGCATGTTCATATCTCCGACACATTTCTCCATCAAACGTTGGAAAGTTAATGGACTATTTGTCAAACCTTGGCTCATTCTCTCAAAATTGAATAGTCCAAAAGGGCACACGAATGCAGTTATATCCTTTGAATCTTCAGCCATGGGAATTTGGTGAAAACCCGTCTTTAGGTCCATAGTGACAAACCATGATGAGCCATGCAGAGCTGTGAAAATGTCAGAGATCTTTGGAATTGGATAGACATCACGAATTGTTCTAAGATTAGTCCATGCATAGTCTAAGTTTATTGTTCTTTTTCCTTACTAACACAATTGCACTTGTATAAGGACTGTTTGAAGGTTTGATGATGTCTGCATCTAACAGTGACTGAATGTGTCTACGTGCATCTTCAAAGTCTTTTGCAGGTATAGGCCTGGGCCTTTCTTTGATTGTTGGTCCAGCATTTAGTTTGATGGAATGTTCTACAGCATCTGTTTTACTAACATCAAATTCATGTTGGCAAAATACATCTGAAAACTGATGGAAGTCTTTTAGAAATTCTATCCTTATCTGCTTGAGGCAATTCAGGACCAAAGTCAAATTCTAGATCAGATGATTTTTGACATAGTTCTCGAAATAATCTAAAGGTGTTACTACCAATGATAACAGGAACTTCATGTGTGTAGGGTGTTTCGGGGCATACTAGAGCGTAAGTTGGCATAATAGAATCAACTCCAACCATTTCTTCGGGTAACCCTATATCTATTTGGATGAACCCATCAAGAGAAACTTTATGCCCACCAGCACCTTCAACTGCAAAAGTTTGGTCATTTATTGACTGTAGCACTTAAATGTTTATTATAAAATTCTTGAGTTATTGTTGTTACTTGGGAACCACTATCAAGCAATGTTTTGAACTTGCTAAAGGTGATTGGGTCCGAGTACGTTCCTCTACTGGGACCGCTTGGAGTTTAAACGTTGAAATACCAAATTTGGATTTTCAGGATTGTTACAGGTTCTCTTGATATGATCTAATTCACCACATTTGTAACAGAATCTTTTATTACCAGTGTTTGTTGAGTAAGAAGTTGGTTTTCCACCTTTCTTTGAGTCATGTGACTTATCACCATCAAGTCTTTTAGACAATGGACTGACCTAAGCTTGTAAAGTTTTAACGGTCTCCACAAGTGAAGAATTTGAAGAAGTATCCACTGACATTGAAGAGGAATTCGGCACCTTTTTCTTTGTAGAAATTGTTAAATCGAAATTTTCCTCCCCCCGTCTTACTTCTTTGATGAGAGTGTTTATTGGTAGTGGCACGGTTCCAATAAATGTGGAATGGAGGTATTGTTTTACTTCATTACATCCACATGATGAAATGAAATGGTTTAATATAGTTTCATCAACTTGACCCGGTTGAAGACCACCGTGTCTCTTTACTTTGGCAATTTTGACACTAAGGCGTTGCAGGTATAGAGAACAAGATTCGTTGGGTTCCCTCTTTAAGGAGAAAAATTACAGGTAGAGCCGTGAAGTTCTTCTAGCTCCTTGAGAATTTCTGCAGATGTCACTTGGTCACCTAAAGATCTGATAATGTCAATTGCAGGCGAATGTAAACTGGATAATAACTAATGTTTCTTTGACTTTTCAGATATATTTGAATCCTCCAGAATTATTTCTGCTTGACGTGACCATTCAGAAAAATCTGACTTCTGTAATCCAGAAAAGTGTTTTAATCTTACATTGTTCATCATTAAATGTTCAAACTGTGCAAGGCTATAACAGAAGTTGAATCTGGTGCCGCAGCTGCAGCCATATTTTGATTATTCTGTCCACCATGATCTTCTTGAGGCGTTCCATTTTGTTCTTCATTTACATCTTGATTGATGCTCTGAGATGGTGGAGTGTTACCTGTAGAAGACATCTTCTCTTGACTACTAAGTACTATCTTTTGCTGGCTATCCCAGACAAGCCCCCTTGTAACCTTGTGCCTCTAAATATGTGTGTTTAGTTGTTGTTTCTGTATATACCAGGAAAATTACATATAAAAGTTAAAAGTATATGATGGCTACACTATTCATGGAGATTATCCATTGGAACTTTTACTTCGAGGTCTGAAGCACCACTTGGGTGTGGCACAAACTCCTGTTACAGCTATTACCCAGCAGATTTTTTACTGGCTATCAAATCTGTTCTGGATTTTCGATCCTTATTGCATCATTCATTTTGATGTGCCTGTCTTATTGCTTTTTATGGTCTTTTACGACCATCAAATGTTGCCGTGAAAAACACTTTTAACCCATCTACAGTTTTATTGCCTCAATAATGACCTTTGCCCAGTTGCTGCTTTGCGAACAATGCTTGCATTCCGTCCTCCCTAGACAGCTTTTAGCCCTTTACTTGTGCTAGATAATGATCAAGCTTTTAACTATAAATTTTTCTTGCAAACATTAGAGGCCGCCTTATTACAGACGAAGGTTCAATCGCATCACATTAAAGGTCACTCCTTTCGCAATAGGACAAGGGTCGAGTGATGCTGTACATCGCTACTTAGATCCCCAATTTGAACAAAAACTTAAGGTTATGACCGACTTCGGTTTTTCCCTGTGTTCTCACACCTAAACAAACATTTTTAACTGTTTGTAATCAATATATCATAATCTGAGGAGCTTGGGCCTTTATGTCATATTTATGTTTACCTTTTTCATCTTTATCATGAATCTGTTATTATTTATGTTATATGATTTCATTATGTTTTCATTTCCCGATTAGAATGTATGTGCCAACTTATCACTGCCTGATTACTTAAACGTACAAGTATTAAAGTGGTAATTTATGTAAACTAGTGTCCAAAAGAAACGATACCACCTGTTTGCAACGACATAAAAGAAAAACTAAACAATGCAGAAGTTTAGGATTGGTGTTATGCTTTTGAGAAATCCTTTCACAACATCTGTACAAAAATTTCATTTCAATAAAATCTGTACAACCAATATGTCAAGCCTTTAAAGATGGGTGGGGTCGAAAAAAGGACATTTCGTTAGAGCACTGATCACAGAAACAACGGGAAATGTCACACCACACGTCACAAAGTCAAGTCAGTAGCGGGTATGTCCACCGTGAGCATCAATACATGCCAGAACACGCCTACGGAATGATGCCGTCAAACGTCTGATGACGTTGGGAGTGATGCATTGCCATTCCTCGAGGAGACATCGTTCCAAGTCCTGGACGTTGACTGGAGGCACACGGCGACGTCGGATTGGCCGATCGAGGTGGTCCCATAAGTGCTCGATGGGATTCATGTCCGGTGAACATGCGGGCCATGGCAAAACCTGTACGTTGGCGTTGGCAAGGAAGTTCTGTGTCAATCTTGCTGTGTGTGGCCTTGCATTGTCATGTTGGAAAAGGAGTCAACGAGGCTGTTGCTGAATATAGGGTACCACAACAGGCCGTAGGATGTCATCAATATAACGCTGTGCATTCAGGTTTCCACGAATTATGACAAGCCTCGTTTTGACGTCACCACATATGCCACCCCAAATCATTAACCCTCCACCTCCAAACGGCCGGATCTGTTGGATACAGTTAGGCGCCAAACGTTCACCAAATCGTTAGTATACACGCTGCCGTCCATGGTTTTTGAAGATGAGGAATCTGCTCTCATCAGAGAACATAACACGTGCCCAGTCCCGCCGTTGAAAACGTCGAACTCGCCTGGTCCAGATCAGTCTCTTGTTCCGGTGTCGAGGCGTCAGGAGCGGTCCGCGGTAGGGATGACGTGGCCAGATACCATACTGCCGTAGTCTCCTGTAGATGGTCTGTCGACTGATCCTGTGTCCCAGTGCTGTAGCCGCCGTGGACGTCGCTGTTACGGTGCGGTTCCTCGGGTGTAATACCCAGATGTAACAATCTTCACGGGGCGTGGTTACTCGTGGTCTTCCACTCCTGAGCCTGTCTGACGTCTGACCTGTCTGGCGAAGTCGACGTGTGTCGCACCTTGTTGGACCATTCCAACGGCTCTCTCTCTCTCGATGGCTGTCAAACGTGGCATATCTTGTGTTCTTTTTGTTGCTGTGATATCAACGTGTCTGATCAGCCATTTTATACAGTTTTTATGCACATGCTAGAGAGGGAAATGTCACTTTCACGAAATTTACGTTTTTTCCCGGAAGTGATCACGTGTTCCCGGTATTTTTATCGACTATGCTGTGTTTGGGATGTGCAATACGAATTGGCATGTTTTCATATTAGACAATTCACTTAGTAAGAAACAATTTTGAAAATAAGTTGGTTTCGTTTCTTTTGGACACTAGTTTACAATATAAATTATATTTTGGTAGATACGTTTTGATCACTTAGGCTTACATACGTTACGTATTATACAAGTGCTATTTCACAGGTGGTTACATACTAGCGGGCAAAACAATAACTTCCGTTAGCAGCATGGCGTTGCAGCTTACTTTAGTAGTATTACTAGCAGTTCAGGCTACATGTTAACTTTGACATTCCAAATTGAAAAGGTGTCAATTGGCTGAAAAAATCAC